TTATAAATCAAAGAATGGGTAGGATACGGGCAGCAAGAGTCAAGCGCAAACAATATATTCATGAAACGTTTTAGTGAATAAGGAGATTTCACATTTTATGGATATATATTGGATGTTTGCGCGACGTCATCTGCGTTTGACTCCTGTTGCTCGTATCCTTTCCAGTTCTTTAAGTATATCCAACTTATGATAACCTAAATACGTAGAGCGAATAAATTAGAATTCAAGCATTAATTTTCAAGTTATTAATCAAGTTAATATTATTATGTTACATAATTTTTTATTTATTATTAATGTATAAATCTTCGCAACTATATTTTTTATTATTTTTATTTTCAAATTTATTATTTTTAAAGAAAGTATATTTTTGAAAATTGAAAAGTACGATTTGATTCGGTTAAATATACTAATATTTATAAATACGCGGTTACATTATGAAAGTTTATAATGAGTTAATTTGTTTTTAGCAAAAGATTAAACATACAACTGTATAAATGTTTTAAGTTCTAATATTAATTTACATTTAAATTAGTGACTAACTAAAAAATATAACATAAAATATCTCAAATAATAGGGTTTTAGCAATTCTTCTCTGTTAAAAAAAAAAATTCTTCTTTGAAACTTTATTATATATAATAAAACATTATGTAATAGCTGCAACTAGTTCGTTATTTATAAAATAATTAATATTTATGCTAACTAATTATTTAAATTTGCATTTGTATTAAATCACGTTTTTCACGGCATTGATATTTCTTACATTTATGGCAATTGTTAAAGTTGATACATTGATACGCGTGATTACAATCTAAACACTAACGATACAATTTTTCATTCCCAACTATATCGTACAACATTTAATTTGTGTGAAATATCTTTTTACATCAAAAAGTTTTCTCAATCTTATATTTTTATAGAAAAATATTTTTTCTTTGAAACAATAATTCTGTAATTTATTGACACATCACAAAGATTGCTCCTTGATATTGATCAATGTGCTCACAATTGAAAGTGAATATTTATATGTGAAGCGCACTCATCCCATCAATTCAATTAATCAGTAATATTCATCGTATACGACATTAAGCTAATTACTATTTTATTTCCATGTACTACCGCGTCATCATCGCGTTCTGTTTATTGTTACGGTAGCGTTAATGGCAGCGACAATAAAATTATATGTCAGCCACATTCTCATGCGAGCAACGAAGTCGTTGTGCGCTCGTGTAAAATCGACGTTTACTGCCTACCTTCCTGACCCTGAGGACTTTTATGCTACGTATAAGAGTGGATGCCGGATAGCGTCAGCCGCATTTTCGAGCGATTTTTGATGCCGCTCGGATCGTCTGGAACGCCGAGCATCCGTGATTAATTTCGTGTTCGAACGTTTAAAAGTTTCGGGTCCTTCTATCCTCGAGTTACGTGCTTGCTAGTGCGGAAATCACCCAGCGCATCATGGCACCATTGTTAGAAAGTGAGTACAAAACCGTTATCTTGAACGAAAGTGTGTGTATGCGACTGCACGGTTCTCTTACGTCTTCTCTGCACGTCTTGCTGAATAAATGTTATATGTTCTTTTTATTAAAAAAAAAAAACATATAAAAGAAATCGTACTCAGAAAAAAATCATAGTGATTTTTAGCAACAGTAAAGATAACAATTTTTATATAGTAGACTGAGTAATTCTACTTGTAGAATTACCTAGTCGATGCCAGCTAAAAGCAACCTTGTTATAATTTTGCACTCAACAATATAAATGTTACGTAACACTATGTGTTATATTATTACGTTTTATTTATATTGTTGAGTGCAAATTAATTACAAGTTAACGTTTTTTTATGCAGCCATTTATCGTATTTGCTTCATATTGGCTCTTTATAATTGTTTTAAATTTAATAATAATTTTTTAAAATAAATAATTGACGTTTTTGCATGTGAAATTGTGCGATGTTCCAAATACAAAAAAAACAACAGAATTATTTTTTTTATATTTTTTAAAATTTTTGTGTTATAATAATAATAATAACAAAAATTTGAAAATATATAAAAAAAATTCTCAATTGTTTTTTTTGTATTCACACAAATAACGTTTGTAATTTCACATGCAAAAATGTCAATTATTTACTTTAAAAAATTATTATTTAATTTAAAACAATTGTAAAAAGCCAATATAAAGCAAATACGATAAATGGCTGCATAAAAAACGTTAACAACTTGATCTGGTAAAACGCTGAGACACGGATATTATTTTTTCATCTACTTTCAGAATCTCTTTAATGTTTTCATGGGAGAAAAAAAAATCGATTTTTGTCGTATTGTGTTATAATTGTTATCACTATGTTTTCCGCCGAGTACTCTTATGGGATGTGTCAGTTTGTATTACACGTCTCATCATCAACATTAAGCGTATAAAACGCGCAAAAATAGCCAGAAAAAATAGTCAGAATCGACATCCGAACGAATTGAAAAGCCGCGACTGGATATCACTCTTGTATTAACTTTCTAAGTTCACTCGTACATTGGCACGCTGTACAAGACAAGTGAACGGCCGAGTACCATTCACATTTTCGTCTGTTCTTCTTAACGCGCGCTTCAATCGTGCACGTCAACGGACAGTTTGTCCGTTTATTTATTTTAACACACTCATTCTTTCCCAAAACAAACTCGCAATGTGCTGTAACATCAAACGTGAGTGCTCACTTTATTAACTCCCTCTGTGTCTGAAAAATATTTTTTAACAAGCGGAAATTAATAGTTCTTTTTGCAATTACAACAATATCGGTTGGTTACTTTATGGAATAAAAAAATTGTGAAATCAAGCTTTTTGAATTTATATCGCCACATTTGCGAATACAATTTTCCATTGTTTGTGTCATTTTATTGCAGTTTACTTTCAATTAATTATTTATTAGATCAGGTGTTTCAGAAACGAATATGATTGTGTAACAGACATTTATCGGAGATGCACCTTCGCAATTTCAAAATTGCAATGATAATACTATGTACCATTGCACAATGTGTTACTAATGACTGCAATTTAAGTGATTTTTGCGCTTATAAATAATTTAATATTTTTAATATTTTTAAATAATAATAATTAATATTTTTTCTTTTGTTATT